AGAGAGAGAGAGAGAGAGAGAGAGAGAGAGAGAGAGAGAGAGAGATGGAGGAGGGAGAGAAGAAGAGGAAGCCCTCCTTGCTGTCTCACCTGCAGGTAGCTGTCACCGAACTGACTGTGTCCTCTGTCGTGTGCAGGTACCGCGTGGAGCCCAGCCATGGCACCAGGTAAGCTCGCCGACTGCAGGTATGGCCTCCGTCACTCCCTATCTCTCCTATGCCCTACTCTCTACTCCGTAACTTAGCGCAGCATAGCGCAGCCTCCAACCAGCAGCGTGTCGCCCAGAAGTGAGCTACTCGAACTGTCCCCTGCCCAGCCGTGGCCCAGCTATTTGTAGCGCTGGGCGGCTGGGCCTACCTGGTGCTGGCCTCAGAAAACGGCCCAGGTGGTCTGGGTCCCTACCGGACGTCCAGATCCTGCTGCTGATGCAGCATGGCGCAGAAATGCGGCTGGCCTAAAAACGGCCTCCTACCGGTGCACCTGGCCCAAGGTGTCGTCTTGGGTCCTGCAGGACCGAAACGACGCCGGTACCTACCGGTTTGGCGCCAGAAGGCGCCTGGCCTCGTTTCGGGCCTGCCTCTGGTGTACCTAGTCCCAAGGTCCAGCCTTGGGGCTGCAAGTCCGAAACGGCACCTGAACAAACAAAAATAAGACAGCACACACACACGAAAAGGGGTAAGTAAAACAAAGCCTATCTACCTAGTGTGCTACCTAGGGCCTGGAGGGCTTCCGTGGGCCTCCATGGCGCGTGCTGGATGGTACGCAGCCTGGGGGCCCCTCAGCAACCGTCGGGCCCCTCAAATGGGGCCTGTGTGCAGGCGCAGCATGTAACACCTTTGACCCAGAGAACATGCCTGTTAATCTGCTTTTCACGAGTTGGGGGTCCTGGGCGAGTGACCCCTTTTATGCTGCATTTGTCAAACAGGGTCTGAATCGGGTAAAAGCCCTTTTATTCTGCTTGTTTGTTTTCGCTGTTTTGCTGCCGGTGAGGTTTGAGCCTGTGAAGAGTCCTTGTCAGTGAGGCCTAGGATTTAGCCTTTTCAAACTTGTAGAACATGATTTTTAGTTTAGCACACCAGTAGGCCCTGGTCTAGAGCAGCAAGTCCAATGTAGCGAGTTACACAGCCATTCATTCATTCGCGGTCTTTGGACATTCACAAGAGGGAGAGAATTGTTGCCGTCATCAACTGGAGGCAACATGAGTACGCGGCCATAGCTGCTTGTTACTGTCCATACACTTTACCATTTTCCTCCCTATTTGTTGTATATTGCTCTGGGAGTTCTCGTGCCCAGATGGACATAATTCCCAACACTTATAATCCAGTTTTCAGAGGTGTATGTTGTGAAACGAGATCTTTGAGTTCCGATCAAGCGTAGCATAATTATCTGTGTAATGCTATCAAATGTGAACCCGAGGATAAAACGTGTGGAAATGCAACACGACTGTGAACAGAGCTTTCTAAGGCATGAGAGCAGCTCAATCTTTCCTGCGGAATGTACATGGTTAGCAAGTACGCGTACACAAACTTTCCTGCATGGATACGAATGACATGGACAATCAAGACATGGTGCAAATTGGGTGGGGAAAAGCGACTCAATCTTTTCTGCAGCATGTACATGGTTAGCAAGTATTCGTACACAACCATTCAGCAAACACATGCATCCTCCAACAGCCTACCTTATCATACAAGGTCCAATTCACCGGATAACCAAAAAGCTCGTCCCTAGTCTTCGGAATACTGTCGATCAGTGACTTCATCCGTTGGTTGGCATCCTGCTCTGCAGCTTTTTCCTCCCCACTTCCTCGATCCTTCTTTGTGCGGTCCTTGCCCTTATCGCTGCTTGCTATATCATCCTTCTTCTCCCTTCGTGCTCTCTCCCTCTCTTTTTCATTTGGACACCTGTCCTTCTTGTCGTCCCTCCCACTTGTTGTTGGAGGTCCACTGGATGGAACAGGTGAGGCAGCATACGATGTACCCATTACTGCAACACCTTGACTTATGCTCCTTGCGTACTCAGCTGCGGCAGCAATATTGGCATGCACTCTTCCGCTGGACGTTTCTGCAGCCTCAGCCACTGAGTTTGACACTGCTCGCATCTCCTCGGGGGTGTATTCTAGGGGTACCAGAGGACGGAGCTTCCGCTCATGGGTGGACTCCTCATCAGCCCCTGCGAACACAGATGGGACCACCGCACGCTTGCCAGGGCCTCCAACCAGCCCAAAGCCCATCCTTTTTTGTCCAACTACACTGCTTGGCTTTGCCTCAATTCCATTAGACTCTCCTGCAGCATCCCTATCTGTTCGGTCAACCCGACCATTAGTCAGTGGTACCTCCTCGCTCGTTACTGCTGCTCCTTTATTTTGCCAGACTGCTAAGAAAATGCAGCAAAAGAATGGGTGTACTTCAGCATCATTGTGCTGCTTGCTCATACAATCACACAATACACAACCATTGGATGTCCCGCACTGCAATTTCCAGTCTATGCCATCCTTTGAAGATTTTGTCAGCCTGATACAAATGCATTCCTGTAACCAGGAAATCTAATTTGATACATCATTTGCATCATAACTTAAACAAGGTTTGACAATAACGCAACATCCTGAGACCAGGTGAACCGGAAACAGGCACAACATAGCAAGACAAGGAACATCCTGATACCAGGTGCATATGAAAAGAAGGCATAGAGCAACACAACTACATATCCCAGGAACATACAAATTTCCACAAGATGGACCAGTACGGCTCAGCTCACGTCAAAAAAATAAAAAATCGCACAATATGGGCCAGTTGGGCTCAGCTCACGTCAAAAAGGATTGTGGTTCAGCTCCCATCAAAAAGGAGTAAGGAAAGGAGATTAACGATTAGGAAATGGAGAGGGAGGCATTTCGAAGATGTATGGATGCAGGAAGGAGTGGCAGCTTGCACATACCACACAGATTACTGCCCAACGAGGACATTGCAAGAATCAAATATGAAGCTCGAAAGATACAGACGAAGAAAAGAATTTTCTCAAACAGTCTCCATCACAGTAGAGAAACAGGGGAAGGAAAATTACCAAAAGCGGATATATTTACCTGTTCTTGCAGAAGGAAATACAGAGGAAGATCAAAATGCCACAATGTTAGCTAGATTTGGGTGGTGAAGAGGAGCAGGCAAGCGTTTGGAGAAAACTGGGACGTTAAGTACAGTATAAAGTGAAACGGTTTTCACCCTTTTTGCAGTAGCGGATGTACATCCCAGGGCTCGATCCCTAGACCTCACTACCTGTGTACAGTACCCCTGTGTGTGTTTGAACCCGTAACCTGTGTTTTAGGAACCAGTAGTAGTCTGTCGTAGACCTGTGTGTCCGTCGGGCTTTGAACCGTAGAGCTGTCGGGTAGGGTCAAAGTTTATAGCAGAGGTCGTAGCTGTAGGAGTCCTGAAGGGTCAAGGTCGTAGCTGCTACATTCCTGAAAGGTCAAGGTCGTAGCTGCTACAGTTTCGAAAGGCCAAGTCCACAGCCTTCCAGAAGCTCCAGAGGTGGCCTTTCGAAGACTGCCCACAGCAGACCAGAGGCAAGTGGGCAAGTGGTAAACCCACTGCACCGAGTCACCAGTGCGACTGCACTGACTCGGCGGTACCATCCCATGCAGTCAGCGGTACCCAGTCCCAGTCTCCCCTAGTCCAGTCAGCAAGTACCATGTGGGACTGCGTGCACCAAGGGCCCGGTGGAAAAGGGGCAGACCAGCCACGAACAGAAGTATAAATCAGGAGGCAGCGTCCAGCCATTCATTGATTCGCTGTGTAAGCCATGCGGAAGCGCTGCTACAGCGTCTTGTGCGAAGGTGGTCTGCAGGTTGCCCGAAGACGAAGTGGGCTGAAGGGAGATTGTAGCCATAGTCAGTAGTGGTAGTGCAGCCATAGCCGCTGTAGGAGGAAGTGCGGCGCGACACAGGGAACGGGCGAAACTTGCTGCTTCCTCCCTAAGAGCGTAGATAGCTATCAGGACGTGTTCGTCTGGAGCGACCTTCTGCAAGTGCACATACGTTTTAATGTTGGCCGCCCAATTGTCGAAGTCCCCGTCCTTTCCACTATAGGAGTCGGGGAACTTCACTTTAGCAGGCTCTCTACGAGGACGTGCTTCCTCCTCCAGCCATATAGAACGCAGGGCTATGTCCTGATTCCTAACAAATTGATGTTGCTCTTCCTGGACCTGCGCCAGGCG